CTAGAGTGATGGTCATCATACCATGGCGAAGATGAAGGCATTAATGGTGTCGGACCAAAAATGGGAAGTCGCTATCAAAAGGGAATCGTTTACGGGTGTTTCGCTAAGGATAATTCCAGACAATGACCGATGTCTTGACTTTCCCGATGGTGCTGCTTTCTTTTCTCCAAGATTCTCTCAGTACCAATTCCGCCATCCAATGATTGGGGGAAATGGCCAATTCTTGAACGTGTTTGGCCATCGGTTTGGCAAGGTGATCCCAGATTTGAAAGGGATTCTTTGGGTTTCCTTCTCGATAATTTCAAAAGGGTCGATTTCCCATTGGGCCGAGGAAATAGGAATCGGGGTTGGCGACATAAGGGATCAAAATCGATTCTTGTATTCTGTAAAGGGTGATTGAAATCAAAGAAGAATAAGCCAAAAGAAGAATGGGAAGATGAAGTGGAAATTGCGAATATAAGTGAAGTTTACCTCTGAATTACATCTTGGGTCGCCATTGAAGATTCAAGTGGGTCCGAGGTTGTTGCTTGAAAGCTTGAATTTTTGGACGCGGGTCGGTGTTGAACGGTCTTGACCTAGGAGGGAGAAGGAGCTTGTGGTCAATTTCGAATAAAACAACTTTTATCCCGAAATTGAGGGGCATGTGTTAACACTTTGGATTTTGGTCGACTTCGAAGATGACAGTGGACCCGCATCGAAAGGACATTCGGGAAACAAAATAAGCGATCGGCTAAATGCTTGTGCGGTTGGTTACTTCAGAAGGTGGTGACTCCATTCGGGAAAGCAGAAGATGGCAGGCAAAGCCGATCGAAAAGATGAAAGTTGTAATAATAAAGGACTCTGAGAGTTTAGGGCAAGGAATCGTAGTTTCCAAGTTTGTTTAAGAGTTCCTTTGTAAATCGTAGTCTTTTAGGACTCGTGTTTTGTCTAGGGTATAAATATTGACCCTCGACCATTGTAATAGGCGTTCACAACCAAATCAATACAACCGGCCCCGTGCCAACTTTCGAGTCCTTTTGTCGTGTCGTCGAGTCCTTCGAGAGGAGTCATCGATCCGTCGACCTCCGTAAGTTCCGACAACCTTGTTATCATGTTTAGTATCATGCGGTGGATTTAGACGTGATGCAAGTAGTCTTGTTTGTTTTCAATGATCGTGCGGCGGATCTTTGCTTGACAATCAAGAAGTCTTTGCTTATGCTTTGTTTATGAGTAGATACCGTGCGGCAGGCGTTTGCTCAATATGCTTAGTGAAGGCAAGATAGTTATCGGCTCTATTAGATACGGCAAAATCTAAATAGATTCATTAAGTTATCATGTGTTGCATGTTTTAAATATTTTATATATTTGTAACACACTTCTGCCCAATCTAGATTGATATTGTTCGGCCCTCTCTTATGGTTTTATTCGTGCTTCAATGATCATTACTTTCGTATTACCTTTGCAAATAGATAACATGCTCGTAATGGCTGAATTATTTTAAACTAGATTGTCACATGTCGTGGGTTCATGCATGTTAATTACGTTTAAGCTTTGACGAAACTAGGTGTCGTGCGGCAGATGCAGGTTTTAGATTAGTTTAATCATGTTTATTTGTACGTTCCTTCTTCATGGACCCCAACTCGGCTGGATTGCTGAGCTTGGTTATGCATTAACTCATGATTAATTTCACTTGTTCAAACATGTCTTCCCATGCACATGCATTCGGCAATCGGATCTTTACGTGTGCTCATCTTACGATTAGCCGAATGGTTTATAAACTTGCTGGCAGATAGCTTCCTATAGCTGTATGTCGTTGTAAGTGGCTTCAGGGCCGTATATATGGAACTGTCTGGTCTCACCCGACATGTTCCGGTTTGGCATTTAACTGTTTTATCCCTTGTTAGTTTTTTCAGGTCAAACTGACTGGCACGTTTCCGGATCACGAAGCACCTGGGCACCCAATTGAAGCCACGCTTTCTGGCTTGCTGTGTGTGAGGCACAGTGCGTCACATTTTGTGTCAACAGAGCCAAAACAGTATGCTGTAAATGGATCTACAAAACAAAACTTGACTCTCAAGGGAATATAGAGAGATATAAAGTCTGACTTGTGGCAAAAGGCTTTACACAAAGAGAAGGGATTGATTACAATGAGACCTTTTTCTCCAGTCTCATGTAAGGATTCCTTCAGAATCATAATGGCATTAGTGGCACATTACGATTTACAATTACATTAGATGGATGTAAAGACGACATTTCTCAACGGAGAATTAGAGGAAAATGTTTATATGGCACAACCGAAAGGTTTTGTCATGGAAGGAAAAGAACGTTTGGGATGCCACCTAAAGAAATCCATTTATGGATTAAAACAAGCTTCAAGACAGTGGTACTTGAAGTTTGATCAGACAATAAAGAATTTTAGGTTTAAAGATAATGTTGAGGACAATTGTGTCTACGCAAAGTTTAAGAATGGGAAGTTTATCTTCCTTGTCCTATATATGGATGATATCTTACTTGCTAGTAGTGATGTCAGTTTACTACTAGAAACAAAGAAGTTTTTGTCCTCAAAATTTGATATGAAAGATCTTGGTGAAGCTTCGTTCGTTCTAGGGATCGAGATTCACCGAGATAGAAGTAAAGGGGTAGTAGGACTGTCACAAAAGGCATACATAGAAAAAGTCTTAAAGAAATTCAGTATGCACAAATGTAGTCCATCACCTGCTCCTATAGTCAAGGGCGACAGATATGGAGATTTTCAATGCTCCCGGAACCAATATGAGATCGATCAAATAAAAGTGGTTCCATATGCTTCAGCTGTCGGAAGCTTGCAATATGCTCAAGTGTGTACGCACCCTGACTTGGCATTTGTTACCGGGTCACTTGGCAGATTCTAGAGCAATCCTGGAATAGAACACTGGAAATTGGTAAAGAAAGTCTTGCGTTATTTGCAAGGAACGAAAGGCCTCATGATGACGTATAGAAGATTTGATTCACTACATATAGTGGGATATTCAGATTCTGATTATGCGGAAGATAATAGAAAATCCACGTCTGGATATGTGTTTACTCTCGTAGGGGGGGCTATTTCATGAAAAAGCTCAAAGCAAACCGTCACTACATCGTCCACAATGTATGCCGAGTTTGTAGCATGTTATGAGGCAACGGGGCAGGTAAACTAGCTAAAGAAGTTCATAGCCGGTTTGAAGGTGGTTGACGACATCAATAGACCACTAAAGTTATACTGCGATAATAATCCAGCAGTATAATATGTTCACAACAATAGGTCAAGTGGTGCTGTCAAACACATTGACATAAAGTATTATGTTGTGAAGGATAAAGTCCGGAATCAAATGATAAGTCTTGAGCATATAAGTACCGAAAAGATGCTCGCGGATCCGCTTACAAAAGGCTTACCACCCAACGTGTTCAGAGAACATGTAGCCGGCATGGGTTTAAGGGAAAGCCTATGATTCCTAGACTATAAAGGGCCTAAAAGTTAAAGTAATTTCAGATCAGAGACGTGCATTGTAGCTGTTAAATCTATCGGCGATTGACCGTGACGATGAAACATGCTCTATGCATCATCTGTGAAGAAATGAGTAAGGATAAAAGGATTGAAGTTTAAAGTTTAAAGATAAAAGTAATAGTGTGAGATCAAGAGGGAGAATGTTAGATTGATCTCCCAGCCAATAAGCCCAACGGCCTATTGGGCCTTTGTCACGCGCCCTGATCGGGGGCGTCCAACCCTACATGGTTGGTGGGCCCCCGTCGCACTGCGCTATATAAAGAGGTGGGGGCCGACGGCTCGAGGCACGAGGTTCACCGTGAGCCGCAAACCCCACCGACAAACCCTAGACCGATCTAAGAGGGCACGCAGCCAGCGATGGGAAGCTCCGCTGACTTCGCCGTCGTCACTGCCACGCCGTCCGTCTGCACTGCATCGACGTCCGTGCAACATCTACTCCACCCGTCGCTGCTCGTGTGCTGCCTCCATCACCGAAGCTGAGATGGCCAGCTCAACTGCGACTTTCTCCGAGGGCTCAGGTTCAACACCATCACCCTTACCCTATCTCTCTCGGTGTAGTATTCTAGATTTAGATATGCATGTACTAGTATGGATCCAAGTGTCATCCGCCTAGATCTGTCCTAGTCGATCCACATAAATTAAACAGAAGTTACTGAACTTTTCATCTGTAAGACAAGAGTGTTGTGGTACGTTTCCTACTTTCCCACATGAACGAAGAAGAGAAGATTACTAGTAGGTGCCATGCCCACCTCGAATCGACTACTCGCACAGCGGCACATGGGGGGCCGGCTGCCTGCCATGGGATGCTGCTGGTGAGGACAGAGAAATTCAGGAACGTAACAGAGCACTTTCGTTCGCAGCAGGGGTCGTGTCGTGTGTGAACAGGAACAAGCTTGAAAACAACACGGAGCCGACCAGACATTGAGAGCAATCGGTACGTTTCGTAAATTTTATAGTTAAAACAGTATTTTTCTCTCATATTAAATCAGCCAGCAATAATAAATCAGCTAGCAATAATAATACGATTAATAATAATACGATTGTATACGATCTCAACCCCAGCCACGATTGTATACGATCTCAACCCCAGCCGAACAGGCTGAATCACAGTACTAAGCATTTCCATTCCATCCATTGATCGCTTATGGCGATTTCTTTCAGTGTGTTATTTTTGCAATTTTTTCGATCGCTTACGACTAAAATCTCTGCATTCCATTTGCGAAGCAGGAGGACGAAACGAAACCATTACCTGCAGACCAACCCGCCCACACCACAACAGTCCAATGGAGCAGAGGACTGGAAGCGACGGAGCCAGCCGCGCCAAAACGAACCACCCCGTGGTTTTCCCATCCCATTGTACAGTACAAGCGTCCAAAAAAGGCTAAAGCCAGCCACAGCCAAGCCACCCCCTGCTACAATGCTGCGCTGCGCTACGACGACTACTGTCACCAGTAGGCTAGCAATCTACTACGACTCCTCCTGCTACTGTGCTACAGAACTACAGCACCCCCTCCAGCAGGGCCCCGCAGTTGAGCAGCCGCGCCAGCCACTCCTCGTCGGCGGGCTCGCCGGCGCCGCCCATCCCCATCTCCACGTCGACGGCCGGTGCAGGGAGGACCGGCTCCGGCTCCGGCCACGGCCATGGCACGGGCGGCGGGGGCGGCGCGCCGGCACGGGTGTCGACGGAGGCCATGACGGTGGACGCCGCGGCGGAGAAGGACGGCCCGCAGCTCTCCTCGTTGCCGTTGATGGTCACAAACCCCGGCACCTCCGACGTCGGCGGGGCGGCGCTGTCCGCTATCTCCGCCTCCAGCCACCGCATCACCTCCGCCACGGCCTCCTCCGCGATGCCCTCGCACCGCAAGTCCTCGCCGTCCTCGCCCAGCAGCTCCTTGCCGTACACGCCCTCCGCCGCCTCCTCGGCTGCGTCCTCGCCGCCGCCGACCCTCTTCCGCTTTCGCGCCGCGCCGCCGGCCTCCGCCGCCTCCTGGACCTCCCCCTCCTCCTCGACCTCCATGATGCCCGGACTCAGAGAGAGAGAGAGAGAGAGAGAGGCAAGCGGGTGGTTGGCTGGGGGATCCCGGCCGGGTCGGCGCTGCTTGTCACGATAGGCCACACGGCTACCGCCTGGGGGTTTATATAGGCCCCGGCCGCGACGTGGCCGTCGGATCCGCGCATACGCCCGACGTGCGGACGTGGGACTGTGGGAGGTGGGATGGCAGAAACGGACGCTCGCGCTGGCGCTGGCGCTGGCGCACGGCCGGGGGCAAAGTAATGGCGGGTTGGCGCTTGGCGGGCGCGTCGCAGCAAGAAACGCCCCGCCCCCATCACCGTCCACCAAACCTTACTTTCGAATACTGAGCGGCCGAGGGGTACATGCACAGGAGGCACAGGGACAGCACATTGATGCCACAGCTTGCACACGCAGGCAAGTATTGGCTGCAGTAGCAGTGCAGCGCTCCTGCTTTTGACCGCCCCCGACGGCCGACGGAGACGGACGGCCTGGGAAGGGAACAACGTCGACGTCGTCCGGGTCAGAGAAGGTCCGTCCATCCATCGATCCAACCACCGCGTCCACTCCACTCCACTCCCAGCCGGTGAGGTCGGTCGGTCACGCTCGATCAGATCGACGACGCGACCTCGCGGATCGTCCGGGAAACCGCCGGGCAAGTTCAGGTCAAGTTCACACAACTGGGGCGCGCACACATGGGCCATGGGCACACGGCGCTCTTTTCTTCTTTCTCCTTTCCTTTCCTTTTCTTTCCGCGGCGAAATTCTTCTCCTCTTTTCCGCTTTGTGTGAAACACTCAAGCTCGCAGGCATAATCGATCAGCTTTACGCTTGCGTAGTTGCGTTCACATCTACTAGCAGTTTCTGTCTCACTCTACCTGCCGCCGTGGCGCCCCGCGCACAAGCGACTGAAGGCGCGTTTAGATGCAATTTTTTTTTTGGTTTTGACTACTATGGTACTTTCGTTTGTATTTGGCAATTAGTGTTTAATTATGAATTAATTATGTTCGAAAGTTTCGTCTCGCGATTTCTCACCCAACTATGCAATTAGTTTTGTTTTTCGTCTATATTTAGTACTCTATGAATTTATCGCAAGATTCAATGTGACGAGTACTGCGTAATTTTTTTTAAACTAAACAGGCCCTGACTCGGGACCGTGTCGGTGTGACGCGGCAGGTCGTCGTCTTCTGCCCCAAGTCTCCCAACCTACGGTCGTCTCGTCTGACGTGCCGCTGTCACACCGACGTACGCGGATTGTGCGGCCGCTTGCGCGTCCGGACCCCGGAGGATATGGGCATCTTCCAAGACGGAAACGGGCGGCGGCACAACCCAACGAGAAACGGACGAGCGGGCTACTGCCCACGGGCCCTGGAGAACGTACGGCCCCTCTCCAGTTCCAGGGCCTCCACTCGGTACCAGACCGACCGGGCCAAGTTGTTTGTTCCATTGGATTGGAGCCTCCTCGATGTGCTGTAAAAGAAGGAAGGAATTGGACCACGGTGTGTCGCCCAGAGAAGCCCATTTATAAAGACTTACGCGACTGCCCGCCGCGCCCAGTCAAACAACGGATCGAATGAAAAATAGGAGCCCTAACGAATTCTACGAGTCGAGCGGAGTGAAAACAGGAAGAAACCAGTTTAAATTCCTGGATGATCTACTACTGTGCTATAATCGCGTGATGGCCTGATGGGCACCTGCTTCAGCAGCAGACGACGCGCCACACCGACACCGTCATGGTGGTCGGACCTCCTTCCGGACCTGGCCGGCGTCGTACTCCAATGGCTGCCATCCCACCGCGACCGCGTCAGCTTCGTCGCCATCTGCCGGCAGTGGCGGATCCAGCTTTTACTCAGGAGTAGGGCCTCTAAGAAGCTAAGAATATTGTATGATACACATGAAGAGATGAAAATAAATACCTAGTGTCTAGTGAGGTGGTGCATTCGCATCTTCCATGTCATCGTCACGCTCTGCATATGAATACGATCAAAATATAAATGAAAAGATCATAAAAAGATTAATTATTAAACATTCATTTGTAATCTGAATATACCAATACCATTATAACGAGTTCTATTAGGCAGTTTAGGTAACTTCTTCAAACATGATTTCAATTCTTGAGAATACTGTAAGATATCATCATCTGGTATGCTTCCAAATACATCTTGCTCATATAACAAACCATCCGATGATTCAACCATTCATCACCCATCTTATTTCGCAAGTCAGTTTTAATAATTTTCATAGCTGAGAAGGATCAGCTTTTACATCAGCAATGAAATTATCAAGTTGTGGTGCTTGAGTTGTCTCTTGATCTGAAGCTGAAGGTGGAGGTTGAGGTGGGACTTGAGTTGTCTCTTGAAATATTGAATCTGAAAAGATATTCAGTATAGAAACTAACTGAGGGGCGAGGACCAAGGGGGCTGGAGATGGGTATTGGAGGGCGGGGGCCGCCGGGCGCCCAGGCTCGAGCCACCGAGCTGGAGCTGGAGGGCGGGGGCAGCCGGGCGGCACTGCAGGTGGTGTGGCTGCACCCTGCGCTGCTGGGGATCACGAGGCCCAGGATGGGATGGGCGCCTAGGCGTGGCCTTGGATGGCGTCTGGCACACACCGACTGTCCGGGCTTAGGTGGCGCCGACAGCGGTCGCGGCTCCTCGCCTCCTCCGTCTGTGTTGCGGTCTTGGTGGTGAGCCCTTCGTCTGAGGGACGGAGGGAGACAGACGGGAGGCAGTCGAAGGGTTAGGTTTCTTGTGCTGATCGGCCTTCATTATTGGGCTGAAATAACATGGGGTATGTGGTGTTGATGGCCTACAGATCCGCCCCTGTCGGCCGGCACTGGCGCATCGCCGCGCAGCAGCAGCGCCCGCTGTTCTCGCCGCCGCTGCCGTGGATTAGCTTCAACAATGACTACATCCAAATCCTGTGCCACGAGGAGCACGTCCTCGGGCGGTGGCGCTCCGACAGCTATGAGCTCCGCTGCTACAGCACCTTCGGTGGCGGAGATCCTGCTTGAGGTGGACGACCCCGAGCGCTCCTACGTCCTAGGAAACCTCTTCTCCGAGAAGTCAATGAAGCCAGGGGCGGGCCCAGGCCTAGGGCCACTAGGACTATAGTCCTAGTCGTGACCCAACTAGTCTAATAATACCTATGTAATTTTTTTAGCCCAACAAGCAATTCACTAGAGTCTCCTGCCGCTTGTGAGTAGGAGTCACCCTCCTGCCTTATCACTCGCATAGTCGCAGGGTCACGTTGTGCCGCCGCTACTCGTAGCTGCCCCACAGGCGTGTCATCCTGCCGCATGCAAATGATCCTAACTAGCTTCTATTTTGCATTAGCTCTATCACACTCAAGCAAGCCTCCTACTCAATTCTAGTTGCCAGGTCTTTAAGTTGAATCACACAAACACACAAGCTAGCAACTACACAAGAAAGCTAACTAGAGAGCTAATACAACAATTACAACTACAAGCTATTCGAGTGCTACACTAAACAAAAGAGCTACAACTACTCAAACTACACAAGCAAGCAAACACTACACAAGTAAAGTAATGAATGAATAGCAAGTGTAGTGCTCTATATACTGAACCGTGCAAGACAGATGACGCAAGATATATCCCTGAGGTTCGGTTGCTTGATTGCCAGCAACCTACGTCGATGTTGTGGCGAGTCCCAACTTGCTGATTCGCGAGCTAATTAGCTTCACACGCCAAGCCCACCACACGGGCACCATAAGAATCACCCAAGAAGTGCACTCCAACTAGCCACGATTCCACTGAAGTTACTCTTTGCGAATCTCCCATGGGGAATGAGCACAAGAGTCTCTCGGGATAAAAATCATCGTGTCAACATTGTTCACCTCGTTGGTTTGCAATCCCTTTACACAAACTTGTATTTACATATTCATACATTGTGTTTATGTAGTTGCTCTTGTAATTGTTAGCTAGTGTAGCTTGTTAGTTACATTCTTGCTTGTGTAGCATAAGTAGCTCACTTGTGTAACTAGTTTATTTTTGTAGTAAATTAGTTGCATTGCTTAGTTTGTGTAGCTAAGTAAATTGAACTCTCTAATTTGGCTTGTGTAGCCTTGTTATTGAGCATTGCGATTGAGCTTAGGGGCTTTGTGCTTTTACTTACTAGTTTGTGTAGGAGTTCTCCCGTTGCTTAAAGTACTAGTTACATAGATTTGTGGGACCTTACTAGAATTGATTATGTGAGCTCTAGCTAGCCCGGTGTTTGACGAGATTTTGTACAAAATTTGACTATTATGCATGTACATCTATATGTGCTACTGAAAATAATAATAAAGGAAAAAAAAACATGAATCAAGTTGTATTGGGCCGTGATGACAGGGGCCATTGGGCATGTTTATTTACGTGTGCTGGAGAAGAGAAGCTAACAGGCATAGCCATATACGTGCGCCTGTATAAGAGCTGAACTGGCTGTAGAGTTCGTATGTACGCCGGTCTGTGTCGTGTATTTCTGTAGGATTGTACATCAACTGAGCCTGCGAGACAGTCAGCCCGATGAGGTCCAGAACCTTCTGGAACCTTGGCCAGATATACGCGCGACCGGCAGGTTAATGACTTGATCAACGGGAAGGCTTAACTCCCCGTTCGGCTTACCCCATATTCGGTTTGTTCGGCTTCTTTTTTCAGCTGGAACAGTATTTCTCTCTCCCAATAATTTAGCCAGAACAGTGTTTTTCAGCCATTTTTAGCTAAAATTCTGCCAGCTGAACGGGGATTATCCCTTCATCATCCCAGGCCCATGCGTCAGGGAACAAGATACGTCCACGAGCCCATCCAAGTAATCGAAAGCCTCTAGAGGGATTACCACGTGAAGGTAATTATTCCAGATGAATGAATCACGTGGTCTTATCTTGTTGGCAAGCAAAGGGCCTATCCCCGGATATCTCTCGCGCGCCAACTGATTTTAGGCGGCGCACGCGTGCGGCCAGAGGGCTCGCTGCGACCCTAGCCACAGCCTATATAAAGAAGCCCTTTGACCCTCA